TAGCGCTTGCTTCGTTTAGTTTGATTATCTTCGTAAGGGTATGTCCTATCCACCTCCGACGGCTTTCCCCAACTTTCTCTTAAACTGGAAGTTGACCTGTCCTCTCCCACAGTAGGCTGTTGCCGATGGTATGCGGCTGACAGATATTGAATATCTTGAGTAGACGTCTGTTTATAAATGCCTGCATCGTTTTGATGAGGGTTGTAGTAGTTCTCCAAGTTTCAGCTTCGTACAGTAGGATTGTCTTGACGTTCGTATTGAAGATTCTCACTTTGATGTTGAATGATATTTGTTTGGAGTTCCATATGTTCTTCAACTGTAGGAACACAGGCATTGCTTTGCCAATCCTCGCCTTTATGTCTATATGTCATCCTCCTTGTTCATCGATGTTGCCTCCAAGGTACATGAAAGATTCTATCACTTCCAGGGTTTCTTCAGCAAGTGTGATTGTGTTGGTGTTCTCCATATTGTATTTGAGGATCATGATTTTTCCCTTGTGTATGTTTAGGCCTACTGATGCAGCGGCTTCTGTTATATTGTTTGTCTCGACCTGCATTCGTTGGTGTGTATGGAATAGAAGATCCAGGTCGCCTGCAGATTCCGAATCATCGAGTTTCGTCTAAGCTGTCCATAATATTCCGTGCATCCCTTTTGATGTGCAGGTCTTCATAATTCAGTCAACCACCAGAAGAAAGAAACAGGGTGAGAGTAAGCAGCCCAATCTGGTTCCGGTCCTTACTTGGAATGCATCTGTCAACTGTCTTCCATGCATTACTTTGGCCTGTTCAAGAGTTCCTCAAAGTGTTCTGCCCATCTTGACTCTCGGTGCTCATATGGCTTTCTTTGTCCTTGACTGGTGTCCCTGGTTTTCTATATTTCCCTCATAGTTTCTTCGTCGTGTCATATAGTTTTTTCGTATTTCCTTCTCTCGCAAATTTTTAGCTGTTGTTGCTATCCCTTTTTTGGTTGTAAGCTCTAATACTCCTCTTCATTCTCTTGTTTGTCTCTGTGTATTCAGCTCGTTGAAATTAGATGGTTTTATTTCACCACGATAGACAACACCCAAGAATATACAAGGCGACCTAGGATAGGCTACAACTGTTGTTCGATACTTTTAGACACTGACAAGCCATAATAGTTGAGTTATAATTTCAGTTCGCCGAAATTGATCTTGCGGAGCCAAATAAATGAAAGCCTCAGAAAATTTGATTTCAGTTCAATGTGGTAGTGCACTCCTGAGTCCAGAAATCTGGGCTCTTTATTGTGGTGACTACGCAGCGCATTTCTTTTGGACATCGAGAGCTTGGGAATAAACGTATGAAAATTGCTAAGGATTTCATTTGTCTTCTGAACAGTGACTGCACCTCCATCATACGAATGACAATCCTATCAAGCTTCTATTTAATTAACAGATTTATTTGTGGCGAAATCTCCGTACCTGTACTTCCTAAATGCGATTTGATGGAAAAACAAAACAATACTGGCGGATGCTGTTAGTGAACAATGACTGCAACTACACCAGGTAATCGCAGGAATGAATGCACATTTGTAAATCTACAACGTCGTCTAAATCGTTAGGATGTTTAATACTTCGGGTTCATACTTTGGTAACTGTCATGTTTTAGTTCTTCAAAATTCTATTTATTAATTTCTTCAACTACCTCCAAAATGTCGGCCGGTGGCAGCCCATCAAGTTTGGCATTCTGTTGGCTTCCACCCGTCTCTCATATTCTCTTCTAAAAGAAACAGTTAGCTATAGTTAGGCTGGACCGATGGAGTAGTCGAAGTTTGTGATAATAATAACAATTCATATGCATGAGGGTTGGGTTTTTGAAAAAAATGGCGTGGTAAAAATAATAATAATATATTCCTGCAAGGGCAGGTACACGCCATTTTTACAGGCATGATTTACAAACGCTTGTCAATCCCTTGCATTTTTGGCTTACTCAAACAAGGAAGAAACATTTATACCGGAATGCATAGTAAACTTGATTATCATATGATAAAAAATCATTTACCGTCATTATGCCTTGGAGGACTTAAACACTGAAGTTAATAATAAATTCTTTTTCACATAAATGCGTAACACCCATATCGGAGTTTTCCACTGATAGGAGAAATCACCATCATACCCACTGGTCTGGGTTTTTCCAGAAAATCAGCAATGATAATAATGCTCATTTGATAGAAATATCTGAAACTCGGATATCTTCTCAGTTTACGGACCAGGAGCTAGCAATACCCGGGATGTCCTTGTTTCGCAATGACAGAAAAACAGGAATTGAGGTTCAGTTAGCCTTATACTTACGATCCTGCCTGGAGGTACATCAAGTGAACAACCAAGAGTCTATCAATCCTAATAAATTCGTATAGTTCTCAGTTAGACTGTCTACCATATCGAGGTGTCTGGTTGGAGTCATCTACAGGAAGCCCACTGCTGACATCGAGTACGGTAATCGTATGCTGTAAGGGTTATCCCGCTCTACGTGTCTCGGATTCACTCATATCATGATTTTAAGGGACTTAAATCTTCCTAAATTCAATTTCGCGTAACATTAGTATATTGGAGGTGAAAGCTCTACTGAAGCTTGGTTCTTCAACCCTACCGTTGATCTGGGATTATTCGAAAATGTGAAGTCGGCAAGTCGTTGGAGAAACAGTTAGACGTCGACGCGATCGTGGACTGAGCATTCACGAACGAGGAATCCCTAATTGACAGTACCTTGATTTTGGTTCCCTTAAGGAGGAGCGATCATGCCGTCATAACCTTCAGTTTTATCAGAAAACTGGGCTAAGATATCCCAACAACAACAGGCCCTGGAATTTCAAACGGTTGAAGATGTCAGCTTTACAGGACTGTCTACAACAGGTGGATTGGGATGTTCACCCTAAACTTGATGTGGATGCTTGTTGGAATTTCTTACTGAACAGGATCTCATGTGATAAAAAGCAGTCTGTTCCTCAAATGGTCTCCAAAATCTACAAGTAAGCTACAGTCATCAAGAATCGCACTCTTTGTTTGCTAAGCCACAAAAGGCACTGTTAGGCGGGATACAGACGAACTGATAAAAACGGCGCCTTCTGGCAATACAAACATATAAGGAACATATGCACAAAAGCAATAAGAAGACAGGCTTCAATAACAGATAAAGCTTGTCGATAAATTTGTCTCTAATCCGAAAAGCTTATTCTGTTATGCAGCCTCTCTTCGACAAGCCAAAACTGGAGTTTCCGAACTGCTAAGTCCTAATGACCCGCCCCATAACGACACTGACGCCGCTAAACTTCTGCCAGAACAAAGCTCTCGGACATTTCAACCAACCCATGTTAACTATATTGATGCAACTGCACAGGACTTTCTGAAGTAAACCTGAGCGCTGACATGATGTACCGGAAACTGCAGCACCTAAAAAAGCACCTCTTCTGGTCCGAATATGGTTCATTCTGCTATACTGTGGGGAGCAGCTTCAGTCCTAGCAACACCGCTTAGCGCGATGTTCTTACACTAGCTAAGCTGAGGCACAGTACCGAAAATTTGAAATCAGGCTCACAACACACCAATTTTCAAAGGAGTCTGACACAGTGAACCTTCAAGCTATCGACCGGTTGCTCTTCTCTTCGAAAATTATGAAGTCCCTGATATGCGACGGCACACACAACTATTTATTATCCTTAAACTTCTTTTTACCACAACAGCATGGTTTCAGGAACGGTCATTCTTGTATAAACAACCTGCTGACTGCAGTGGACAGATAGACAACCATCCTTGATCTTAAGGGGTAGGCTTACGTCATTTACCTTGATTTCTCAAAAGCTTTTGATAGGGTCAATCATATATGTCATATCAGTAAGCTCAAGCGATTGGGTATCAAACCACTTCCAACTGATTGGCTCACTTTATATTTAAAAAAACGACATTTTAAGGTCAGGGTTAACTTCACTTCCAGGCTATGGACTGTCCTAGTGGGGTCCCCCAGGGTTCAGTACTAGGACCTCTTCTTTTCCTGATTTATATAAACGATCTTCCACAACAGTTATCGTCTGAGTTGTTCTTTTTTGCTGGTGATATGAAACTTCGGAGGGACATATGCAACCAAGAGGATATACTGGCACTTCAGGAGGATCCGACTCGACTTCAAAGTTGGGCAGATGACAATGGACTCACCATTAAAACTTCAAAATGTAAATTAGTCCATCCGAGACATATTACAGACTACAGTTACAACTTAGGAAACTCCTCTCTAGAAGTATCCCAGGTTGAAAAAGACGTAAGAGTGCTTGTGCCCTACTATTTGAAGTCTTACGCTAACCGTGACAAAAATGTCTTTCGAGCAAACCTTGCACTGGTAACATTGAAGCGCATTTTTGGCCAGTTTGACGGTAGAACTTCCCACATAATCTTCTACAGTTTTATTCGTCCCCATTTAGAATATAGAAACATAGTATCTCCTCCCTCACTCCAAAATGACAAAGATACTCTGGAGAGTGTCCGACGGCGAGACACGAAATCAGTTCTCAGACTTAAATTAAAGCCTTATGAATAGCGCCTCCAATCACTAAACCTTTACTCATCAGAGTATAGGCGTCTTAGAGGTGACTCTTTAATGGCTTATAGTATGCTTAATACCTCTGGACACCCCCTTAAGTTTAGCTCTAACACAAAACTAAGGGGTAACACCCAGAAACTGGAGACACAACACAGCAGAACGGATTGTAGATACAGCTCCTACTCCTTAAGGGTTGTCAAATGCTGGAATTCGCTGCCAACTGGGCTAGTCCAAGTGACTTGCCAGGAGTCCTTCAAAACTCGACCTATTCTTAAGAACTAAGAATAATATCTTACCATGATTTGCCAATTTCTTTTTCCTCTATTATCGTTAATATACCTAGGTTCCTGAATCGAGGTATTGGTGATCCACTACTACTAGACACGGAAGCCTGCTAAGCGAAAGCTTCTTCTATTCCATCCACAACCATTTGAACCATTTGAAGTATGGAATGCACGTTGTCATTTGGCCTGTTCAAGGTCGTGGTGAAGAAGCGCGGTCGTGTTCGGAAGTCGGTTGCAAGTTCATTTAATCCGTCCCCTACATTTTGGTTAGGTAACCAGTAATTATGGTCCTGCACTTTAAGTGTGAACTTGTTCAACCTCCGTACTTTATTTACATGGGAGAAGATAAGCATGAAAATGATGAACTTATTCGTTGGGGATGGCCAGAAGATGTTTGGTTTCATGTAGATGCTCTATCATCTGCTCATGTTTACCTTCGGCTTAAAGAGGGGGAAACCTTAGATGATGTCCCCACTGCCGTTATACAGGACTGTGCACAACTGGTCAAGGAAAACAGTATCCAAGTTAGTTCGGATTTCTTTTCGGTTCACAGAAATTGCTTTCAAATTTTATATCATAAGACATACGAATTTTTTAACGGTCATTGTAATTTCCAAATCGTTTTGGAGACTGATTCACTTTCCAAAGCAAGGTTGTTTCACATATCGCAAAAATTTCGGCACTATGTACCATTTTCTCAATCCCATAGTTGATCAGACTGTTAAGTTGCATTTCAATACTCTCCGTTAGTCTTTACTTCATTTCTATCGTTCAGCTTTAAGACATGAAATCATTGCAGATTTCGATTTTTGCCTGTGCTTTACTCCGGTTTCTGGCCTAGTTACCTTTCATGACAATAATATTCTGATGTTTTGCGAAACAAGTATATGTCAAATATTTAAATTATCTTTGTCTATTCAATTCTATTGCCCTTCATATTTTAGGGTAAAAAATTTATATTTATTGTTAAGTAATATTAAAAGAATAACATGCGTTGTTAGTCACTGCTCATACATTTTTCCACCACCTGGTGTATGGTATTTATTTCCATGACCTGGCCAGTATGTAGCACAGATATCCCGCTAAAAAAGACAAGTTCATATTTAAACAGTAAGTCAATGACAACTGTCTAATTAAAGATTTGAAGACCATTAGAGCAAGATAACTGGTCTTAACTGTTATTAGCTTCTTGCTGTTCTTGTTTCTCACTTTCCCATCCAAGTTTTGTTTCCGAAGATCCCTAATTTAGTCATTTTATTGTTTCAGTCAGTCAGTCAGTAACAACGTAGAACTTCGTACGTACGTACATCAGTTCGAGTTGCCACACCACAGCACAGAGATGCAGTGGTCGATTCAAATCCCGTAGTGGTAGAGGTAATAAGAGTATAAGCAGTAATCAGGAAGATTAGTGTTTGGTGATGTTATTCAAAGAGTATAATACAGTGAAATAAATTTAGGAAGAGAAAAAAAGACAACGAGGAATAAGGCGATCAAAATTTGGGAGAACACAAAGAGTGTATGCACCTGCGCCATTACAAACGATTTTGAGCCATGTCATTCAGGGTCTCTAACCATCGATTGCTATTATCTCGCGGTCCCCAACCAGGTAGTCTATACCTGCCAACATAACTCAGTTCACTTGTCAGTGACTTCATGGACTTGTGCCGTGTTTTGGTCTGGCCGCCCCTAGCTTTCTTCCAACCTACTCCCATACCACTGAACATCGCACGTCGAGGCAGTCGGTCGTTGGGCACACGTAACACATGTCCCAGCCATCTCAAATGATGAAGTTTCACTACTTCATCAATTGATTTGCCATCCTTACCTAGTACCCGTTTCCTAACAACGGCGTTACTTACTCGGTGGTTATGCGAGCAATGCTTCGAAGACACCTATGATCGAATGCTAGTAACCTACGACTATCCTCTACTTTTACCGGCCATGTTTCACAGTCATAAAGTAAAAAGGAACGGACTGCTGCGCAGTAAACCGGTCCTTTGGTTGGTAGACGGATACCTCGCCCATGTCACAGATGACGCAAGTTGGCAAAAGCAAGTCGAGCCTTCTGTATCCGTGCTGAGATTTCGTCACACACCAGACCACAAGGGCTGATGAGACTCCTGAGATAAGTGAAGCGGTCGACACGCTCAACTACTTCACTCCCTATCATTTGTTGGGGTGTCGGTGCAACCCAATCCTGAAGAAACATTTTGCATTTCGAGGGGGAGAATCGCATGCCGAACATAGTTGGATTGTTGCTTATAGTGGTCAGAAGACTCTGCATTTTATCAGCATCTTCACCAAATAAAACTATGTCAACAAGTGAATCTCCCGGTAAAAGTTTAACTCCTGGAAATTTAGATGAAGAAAATGTTGTCTCTGAAAGCACGTGTCAACGACAAAGTCATACAAGAATAGAGAGAGTGGACAGTCCTAACGAACACTACTGGAGGTAATCAATTCTGATGACAGTTCGCCATAAGCTCTCACTCGACCTGTTGTGTTTGAGTAGAGAGCCTTTATAAGGTTAATGTACTTCTTTGGTACTCCTTTCAGTGACAAACTGCCATAGAACCTCACGATCAACAGAGTCAAATGCCGCCTTAAGGTCGAAAAATACTACTATTGTGATGCGTTTAAATGTGTGTCTATGTTCTAGGGCCTGACGTGGTGTGAATATCTCGTCTATACAACCACGTCCAGCTGGAAAACCAGCCTGATTTTCTTTAGTCTGCTCTTCACGAGCTTTAGTTAGGCGTCGAAGTATTATTGAATCTAATATTTTAGACACTATAATTGTCAAACTGATTCCTCTGTGATTGTCACAAGAGGAATTTTGTCCTTTCTTATAGACTGGCACAATCAGTGATTGAGACCAGTTAGATGGGATTACGTTTAGTTCCCAAATTCTGCCTAGGAACTCAGTCGATCTCACTGCTAATACTGGACCACCATCCATAAAAATCTCAGGAGTAAACCCGTCAGGGCCTGCTGCTCTTCCTTGTTTCAGGTTTCCTATAACTCACTCAACTTCATAAAGAGTCGGAGAACCTGCATTAGCTTGCCATTCTGGTCGACTGGAGATCGTGGAAAACTAAAGTGTGGCTGAAGGCCAGTTGAACTGATCCCTAAAGTGTTCTGCCCATCGATCCAATCTCCTGGATTGAGAATGTATAATATGTCCATCTTTCTCTGAGAGTGTTTTGCTAACAGTCGGTTTCCTTAACAAGTCTGAACAATTGTCTGCTATTACCTATTGCCGCTGCCTTTTTCATCTCTCTTGTTTTCGCTACCCACCACTATTTGCGATTATTGCGTAGGCTTCTTGTCAGCTTGAGCTTAAGCTGACTCTGCTCTTCGTTATGTTCAGAGCCAGATGGAATGAGTTTCCGAGCATCTATCAGTGCGGTAGATGCTGCTGAGATCCAGTGTTGCTCCCTAACATTACGTGTTACCATACTAGCAGATATCACTGTTGTTTCCGCAGCTTTTCGGATATTCCACGCTCCCTCAATGTGAGCATCACTTATAATGGCTGCCTAACTGTTTTTCTAGTTGTTCCTGAAATACATTCTTAGCTTGGCTATCATTAAGTAGGACCCTAGGAGGTTTCCTTGCATCATCTTTCCTACGTCCAGTAAGACGCAGACAGATACGCGCTCGCACTACAGCATGATCTGAATCTAAGCATGTGCTCCAGAATGAGCGACAGTCTTCAATCGAGCCTCTCCATCGGTGGTTGCTATGTCAAAAGATGTTTTTTCTTATCCTTAAAGATAGTATTTACAAGAAACAGACGGTCGCCATTATCTGTTCTTTGAGCCACGACTATAAGATCCACCCAGGTGTCTTTCCCTATCGCTTAGTTTACCTACTTGAGCATTAAAGTCACTGGCCATTATTACTACATCCGAGCGCCTAGCTTTTCGGAAAAGGTCGGAGAGCTTTCTGTAAAACTCATCTTTTACATCATCTGTGCTGCAGTCAGTGGGAGAATAGGCAGAGACGACGAAGAGGCAACGACGAGTGTCACTATCTTTCCGAGTCCTCACTGTTCCGTTTAGTCGGACAGCGCACAAACGACGGTCTACTGGGATCCAGTCTAAGAGAGCTAGTTTTGCCCTAGGACTCAATGCTATACCTGCGCCGGCGAGTCCACGAGAAGCAGCATCTGGGCTTCCGGATACACGAAGCATCGATCGAGATGGTTCTTTATTTTGACATAGTGAGGTCAAATGAATGACGCTACTCGGATCCTTTACGCGCGTTTCGGAGACGCAGCACACATCAATGGCGCGGGATTCTAAAGTCTTAGCCAAGGAAGCCTGTTGTTTTATTTGGCACAGTGTTCGGACTTTGAGAGCTCCTACATGTAGTTTAGAGCGTGGTTTTAGGAGATCAAGAATAACGTTCCGCGTACTCGAATCGTTTGCCCTAGCGGTGCGAGGTGATAAAGGGATGTGAGAAGGGTGTCGCGGAAGAAAAGATAGTTATTAGGAGGTGTAGGAAGGATTTGAATGTGACCAACTTGTTCTCGTGTGTTGTCACGGGTATGAAAGCTGATATCACTTCCCGGCTGTCCATATCGTGGAAGGGTATTTCTTGAGGAACCTGAAATGGGAATTGGATTAGTGTTGGTCTCAAAGACCTGGGAGCGTGACCGCAGAGCCCACAGGGCAACTACTTGAGGCCGGTCTCGCACGGCCCTTTTGTTTTTTTAACGTGTTAGCTCCGTTCTTCAAAGGGCTTTACCGCCGGAGACGGAAATCCGTGAGGTAAGGTGAGGCGTGACATTTTTAGGGTCGACCTTTTCTAACCCCACCCCTCCTTGTGGGAAGGCAGCATCGCTGCAGATGCTGGTTGTCTGAGGGAAACACCTTACTGCTGTCACACCTCTCTACAGTCAGCAGTACGACTTCGCCCTCAGACCTTGAGTTGCTGCTTTGAGTCTTACCGTTCTCCAATCGACCTGCCTGGCATGGTAGAACCTACAGGAACATATGTTCCAGCCAATATAGCTCGGTTTGGTCATCACGATAGGCAAGTCCGACCACCGCGTCGACGTAGCAGAAATACAACTCAGCATAGTCTATTCTTGGTATTAAGTCTCACTTTATACACTAAGAGATCAAATAAGATGTCTATACTTAGGGTTATAACTGATATCAAACTCTTTATTGTACATTAGTTAAGTAACGACAGTGGTATCAATACATTTATCGTTAATGATTAAGAATATCATCAGGCTTATAATTTACTATTGTGTTTGATATCACATTGACAATAAAGCACAACAAAAGTTCATAGATATTTCATCACATGCTTTCAATGTATAATGTACACCTTTAGATCTTTAGGTCAAAGGCTCCGGGTGTGGCCTCCTAAGAAAACCACCTGCTTCGGTTTGGGCACCCGGGCAGTATCCCAGACCTCACACAAATCGAATGATTTATGTGGTGCATATCTACTTCCATCTCCTTGTACCAATGTCTATGCGTTTAAATAAGATATTAAAATAAAAATATGTACACCTGATGAGGCTACGCATTAAGCGTTTACTCTGGACTTTGAGTTCTAGAGAGTGAAAGTACGACATCAACTAAATTTGCAGATTGTAAGGTTGAAGTCCACTAAAATTTATTGACTGTGTATTATGTATCATCCTTAATCTTATGACTACCCTATTTCCAAGAAACATTTAGGACCCAAATCTAATGTATTGTTCAGAAGTTGCTACATTCGATACCGGTGGGGTTTGCCTATCGTGATGAACCAGTCGAGCTATACTGGTTGGAATAATCGTTCCTCTAGGTCTTACCATGCCAGACAGTCAGTTGAAGAGCGGTAAGACTAAAAGCAGCAAGTCCAAGGTCCGACGGCGAAGTCGTCCTGCTGACTATACAGAGGTGTGACAGCAGTAAGGTGTTTCCTTTAGACAACCAGCATGACAGCGATGCTGCCTTCACACAAGTAAGGGTGGGGTTAGAAACGGTCGACCCTAAAAGTGCACAGCTCGCCTTATCCCACAGATATCCATCTCCGGCGGTAAGGTCCCAACAAGTACGGAGCTAACATAAAAAATGCCCACAGAAAGGTCTTGTGCGACCGGCCTCGAGCAGCTTTCCCTTGGACGCTGCGGTCACTCTCTCAGGTCACTAAGACCACCACTAACTCAATTTCCTTTTCAGGTACCTCCAGAAGAAACCTTCTACGGTGTGGGCAACCGGGAAGTGATAACCGCCCTCATACCTCTAACAGCACTCAAGACCACTCTTTTCATAATCAACCTCCCTCCTCAATTCCTACTATTCCTCCTACATTGGCCTTTAACTCCAAACTTCCTCTTTCGGCTTTCTCCTCAAGTGTCACCGTGTACAACGATTCTAGTGCGCGAAACGCTGCCCCAGGTCTACTGGAACCTCGCTCCAAACTACACATTGAAGCCTTCAACGTACGCATCCTCTTTAGCTGAAACCCTAGAATCTCATACAATTGATGTACGCTGTGTCTCCGAAACACACATACAGGATCCTAGTGTGATCACTCACTTGACCTCACCTCGGTGAAACGGAGAGCCAACGAGATACACCCTCCGTTTATCTGGCGACCCAATAGCTAGTTCTCGTGGACTGACGGGTGTAGACATAGCACTAGGCATGAGGGCAGAACGAGCACCATTAGAATAGATCCCCGTTAATAGTCGTGTATGTGTTGTTCAGCGGAACGGCTCCATAAGAATTCGGGAGGATAGAGACATACGTTGTTTCTGCCTACGCTCCCACTGACTGCAGCTCAGATGAAGTGAAAGATGAATTTTTTACAGAAAGCTCTCTGAACTTCTTCAGAAAGCTAAACGCTCAGACATAGTACTCGTAGGGGGTGACTTTAATGTCTAAGTAGGTAGCTTAAACCAAACAGAAAGACATTTAGGTGGGCATTTTAGTATTCTGGCACAGCGAACAGATAATGGTGATCGTCTGCTGTAACTGTGCACAGACGATCGTTTATTTTAGCAAACACAAATTTTAAGCATAAGGAGAGACATCGTCTAACATGGTGACCCCCTGCACCAAACCAACGATGGACTCAAATAGACCATATTGCCATCTGTCATTGTTGGAGAGCGTCGATAGAAGGTTGTCGCTCATTCTGAAGTACTTGCTTGGACTCCGACCATGCCCTAATACGGGCACGCATCTGCTTGCGTTTCTCTGGACGCAAAAAAGCCTCACAAAAAGGACCCATTAGAACTGAATTGAGTAACGAGAAAACCAAAAGTAGGTTCCAGGAACAACTGAGGTCATAATTAGGTAGTTGTGAAGACGAGGCTGACCCAGATGTTGCTTGGAATGAAATACAAGCAGCTGTGGAAACAGCAGTGACATCTATTAGTGATTTGGACCAAAAGGTCACGAAAAATCAGTGGATTTCTACTAAGTCTTTAGCACTGATAGATTATCGTGAACTTATCCCATCTGGCTCCGAACACGATAAAGAGCGAAAACAAATCAGATATAGCTTAACCAAAAGTCTAAGGAACGACCGTGAGCAGTGGTGGGCAACGAAAGCAAAAGAGATGGAAATGGCAGAGACTGTAGGTTTTATTTATTATTTTAACACATAGATATTGGTACAAGAAGGCATCAAATACATATGCGCCACAAAAATCTTATTCGATATGTGTGAGGTCTGTGATACTGCCCGGGTGCCCAAACCGAAGCAGGTGGTTTTCTTAGGGGGCCACACCCCGAGCCTTTGACCTAAAGGTCTGATCCACAAGGCAGTGGAGCATCGTAAGGCGATGCAGTCCCATGGTAGCCGGTGACCAGCGATTGGTTCATACGCCATTTGTTCCCGCAGGATACTGGAGCCCATGTGCACCATCAGTTTGGTATCCGGTTAAAGCGCCGGACATCCGCTTTTCGTCCTCTCATTTTTGTAAATAATACCCCCGCCACGAGAAGGCAGTGAGTAGGACTTCCCTGGTAGAGGCTATATACGCGTGGCCATGTGAGAGCATTTCGAGAGGGAGAGCGGACTCTCCCCACTCTCGGCCGTACCAGGGCATTTAGGGGCTTTTTAGACTAATAAAAGAAACTGGAATACAGAAGTCAAGTGTGAGACGATGTAAGAAAAAGACGACACTCTTATCTACTGTCAGCCCAGATGTTTAGAACGATGGGCGGAACACTTTAAGGAGCAGTTCAGCTACTATACAACTACCCTCCATTCCCAAACAGTCTGAATTGAACAATAAAGTAGGTCCCTCGACTATAACTGGAGTTCAGAAAGCCATAGCTAATCCGAAACGAGGAAAAGCAACTGGTCCAGATAGATCGACTCCAGAGGTGTTTAAGAGTGGTGGTCCGGTTTTAGCGACTTGGCTGACTAATATTTTAGCTAAAATCTGGGAACTGGATGGAACCCCATCTGGCTAGTTGCAATCACTGATTGTCCCACTATATATGAAGGGGTCAAAGTCATCCTGTAATAACCATAGAGGGATTAGTTTGACTAATATAGCATCTAAAATACTAGTCTCAATAATTATCGGATGCCTAATAAAGACTCGTGAACTGCAAACATGAGGAAATCAGGCTGGCTTCAGACCTGGTCGTGGCTGTATCGACCACTTATTCACCATTCGTCATATGTTGGAATGCAAGTATGTTTGTCGGCGTCCGACGATGGTGGTCTTTCTTGACTTAAAAGCAGCATTTGATTTTATAGATCGAAAAGTTCTGTGGCAGTGTCTGTTATTGAAAGGTGTACCTCAGAAGTACACAAACTAGTCAAATCAGAGCTTATAGCGAACTATCATCTGATTTTGCAACCTTGTGTAGTTCCGTCAAGGCTATCCAATATCTCCATTTTTGTTCAACTTCATCATAAACCTAGTGGGGAAAATAACGTTCTCGTCGACTGAATTTTCGTGCATTGATCTACCAAGAGGTCCACTTATCGACTTAGAATGCGCAGATGACATAGTCGTGTTTGGTGAAGACGCTGGTAAAATGCAGTCTTTTGATAGCACTGAGTAACAACACCAGAATGTTTGAGATTCGTTTCTCCTTCTCTAAATGCAAGTTTTTGCTTCAGGACTGGTCTGCATCAACACCTGAACTAAGGATAGGGAGTGAAGTAGTCGGACGCGTCGATAACTTCACTTATCTTGGAGGTCTGATCAGCCGTGATGGGTTGGTGTCTGATGAAATCTCTGTGTGGATTCGAAAGGCTCGTTTGGCTTTTGCCAACTTACGTCACCTATGGCGAAGGCGAGATATCCGTCTATCAATTAAGGGACGGGTATACTGTGCGGCAGTTCGTTTTGTTCTACTTTATGGCTGCGACTTGTGGTCATTAAGAGTAGAGGATACTCGTAATCTACTAGTATTTGATCACAGATGTCTTAGAAATATTGCTGGCATCTGCTGGGTTCACCGGGTAAGTAATATTAAGGTTAGACGCAAGTTATTAAGCAATGATGGTAAATCAGTTGATGAGGTTGTGAATCTTCATAGGCTAAGATGCCTGGGCCACGTGTTACATATACCTGAACACCGATTACCACGACACGCATTGGCTCAGAATCGATTACAATGGCGGTGTATATACTCTTTGTCTTCCCTTAAACCGTGAGATTAAAATTACTTTATACCTTTCTTTTTACGAAGTAATTCTTTTTTCCTGTATTATATCCTTATACACAATCTTTCTTTTATACATTACTACCATTGAAGTAATTACTTCTATGAATTTGGTGTTCACCTTGTTGTGCTAATGAGGTATGGCAACTTGTACTGATGCATATATGTGCCTGGTTCCACCTTGAACGCAACCCTTATATGAAGTTAAAATCACTATATAGCGGTGTACATTTCGTGTGCACTTGTATTTGCAATAAGTTTAGGTCGGTTTCAAACACTATTTTGAAAAGTCATTTACAGTTTGCTAGGTTTATTTAACTTCCTACAAGAAAGTTAGGAATGTTTCTTTTTTCTGCGGTTCTCTTCGAATTATCCTTCCTCAGACCGCTTACTGTGAAGTGGATGAACATGATTTGGAAAGATGTAGTTTTGCCATATTAAAGATAAACCATTTAAAATACTCCACCTAAATGTGATAGTGATTCAACTCTTTATTCCTCATAGACCTTTATAGTGTGTATACTGGCGAAAAAAGTCCCGAGTTTGCATTTTTAGCTCATTAAGACGGGTATATCGACATTTTGAAGTATTATAAGCGTGTTTTTTTCTTTTTAATGACTACTTTCTGTCTATATTACAACTTTTAAACATGTACTTTTATAGGGTTGCAAACTTAACGATGTCACTGTTGTATATACCAAGTGGGAGAACCTGAAAAAAACCAATGATATGGATGTTGGCCAAGTAGCCTTTCACAATAATAAAGCAGTGCAAAAGATCGTAGTTGAAAAACGCAATGGAGATGTAATAAAACGACTAAATAAAACAAAAGAGCAATGCCAACATCCTGATTTAAGAGGTGAACGAGAAAAGCGAGATATCCGCATTAAAAACAAAGAAAAAGCTGTTCTGGCTGCTAAGAAAAAGTCAGAACTTGAGGCACAGAAAGTCCGTGCAGCAGAAGCAGAAAAAAGATCATACGATCGTTTGTTTGTTGAGAGTAAAATGAGGACAAATGAAGATGGCTATGATTCAGATGACTTCATGTAAAAAATAAATATGAATACCTTCCTACTTCTAACAGTGTCTCATCTCTTAACTTTATTTTCTACTTATCGGTTACTTTTTCTGAATTGTCGATCATGTAATAAAAACCCTTTTGGTTTACTTGTATATTATATAATGTGAATTTTCTTCCATGCTTGGTGAAACTAAGTTTCGGGTGCTAAACGATATAATTGTGATCATGAACCGATCAGTGCTAGACCACGATTGAAAACCTGAAAGCACTTCTGATGAGTCTCTTACTAGGACGAAACGGTAGTCCAGTGCTTCCAAGTTTTCATTGGTGGTCTAACTTTGATCGGTTCATGATCTCAATTAAAACTCAACCATCTCCACAACTCTATACTAATAAACAATATATTTTAATGGTTTGAACATCCACGCGCTATTTTTCAAAGGCTTGGTTTGAAGCATGGAATATTTTGTTTTCGTACTCAAAATAGCATTTCGCAGAAGGCAATTTTTGGTCAGTCATGGACAATATAAAACCTAGCAAAAATGTTTATAAGTCTGATTAACAATATGTTCAGTTTCGGAATAGCTTTTGTGCTTCCTCTATTTATAAATGGGGAATGATCAGTATAAGCGAACGTACATTAGACTCTAATTTGAAAATAATAAAAGGACTCAGCTATGTTTTTTAATAGGGGAGCTGTAGTTTATGTGCTTGTTGACAGTTGTAGATAAGTTTCAGTGTAGTCTCGGAATGATGCCGATGGAATATTTCTGACAGTTGATAGTTTTGGCTTGCTTAAATGCATGCTCCACTGCGTTTTCCTTGACTAAAGACTACACTACGGCTTACATATATTCTTTTTACGCAACTAGGTTGTGCATTTTCCTATCTGTCTGTCAGCAAAACGAGCTCTAAGCGGGTGTGATGCAAGTAGATCTCTGATTTAGCTGTGAAAGTAAGCTTGGACTTAGGATTACATATGGAAGCTGGAGTCATGATGATCGGGTAAATATGACATTGGTTGGACAGCATAAATGTGTGGTTCTTTTAATTCTGTGAATGAATCATACCACTTGGAATTCCGATAACTGCGTTTTGCACTCTGAAGCCTCATGACCCTTAACCTTAGTTTCTTTATAGCACTACAAAATGAAGTTCTCTCTTTCTTCCCACTAGACTTATTCTCAATCATGAGGAGCCTGATACATACAAAATGTTCTGTCCCCACAAACACGGGTGGATTGAAGTTATCGCCCTCACCATCAATGCTTGCTGGTCAGTAACTCCACCCTCCCTCCTTTTGTAGTGTTTGGCTCATTTAGGCTTATTTTTGTATATACGTCATACCTCACACAATCCTCTGTTTCACAACCTGTTGGAAAGCACTATTTCTATTAGTACCATTTTACAAGCTTATCAGGCAGTTACAAGCTATGAACTGTGGGTAAAGCATCTATGCAGTGCCTCTGTTGACTGTAGTATAAAGTATAGTTTGCCAATCAGAGTATAAGCGTTAAGAAGGGTATATTGTAGGATAGTTGTTGTAAAGAAGGATTTTAGATTCATTTTGATAGGAATTATGGAGAATAAAGCCAAGGAATTTCCGCATTTTGGATGCTTTGGCTGAGATGTTTTCAGAGATATTAAGACTGTGTGAGTAATGTACCCCTAGGTCAGTTACTGATGCCAGTCTGGGCAGTGTGTGATTGCTAAGTGTTTCATTTTAAGAGATGTGTCTTCTATACATAACCAGCCTCATTTCTCTGTGTTGAGCTCTAACCTCCAGCGTTTGCACCAGTTGTCTACCATGTTGGATTGTTTGCATAGTACTGCGTAAATCGCAAATGTCAGTTTTATAGATGACTTTTAAGTCATCGGCATAAAGGTAGGTCTTACCTGTGCTAAAACACTTGCATATATTGTTGATGTAGATTATAAAGAGCAATGGACCCAAGACACTACCCTGCACAACACCACTGGTTATTGGTCGAGGTGTAGATGTTTTAGAGTTAATGTTATTTATTTGATATTTGTTCGTAAGGAAAGACTTGATCCATTGCAAAAGGGGATTTATAATTGCAACTGACTTAAGTCTGTTGATTAGAAGATTATGAAGTAATTTATCAAAGGGTTTCTTAATATCGAGGTATAGTATGATAACTAGTTTCTTCTGGTCACGTATACGAGTAACCTCGTTAAAGAAGTCTATCAGGCATGTACTGCACGACCTTGTTCTAATGAAGCCGTGTTGTGACGGGTCTATTAGATCTTCCTTGAGTAGGTGATCAGATAGTTGATTTTGTATCACTTTTTCCATTATGCGTGATATGACTGGAGTGATATTTATAGGTCTGTAGTTTTCAACCAGGTTTCTCGGTCCGGATTTGTGTTTGGGAAGAACACAGGTTACCTTCCAGGTTTCCGGATATGTACCTGTCTCTAAAGATAATGTGTATATTTTGAGTAGTAGCGTCTGTATGTCCGGTCCTGACATTTTATAAACGATTGAAGGGATGTCATCGGCACCAGAACTTGCATTTGGCTTAAGGGTTTTAATGGCGGTATGTATACTCCTAATGTCGAAGTTTATGGTACTAAGATAGTTTTTGCCGGTGCACTTTATGTCGATATCTGGAGCATCAGATGTATTCCCATTGTGAGAAAACCATTCACTTAAAAGTTCACATATGACGGTTTGGTCATTATACGTTACTCCATCGTGCAGTAAGGAGTGAATGTTGTGGTCTGTGTTCTTTCTTATGCGTTTCGTGAGGAGACGACATAGGGCTTGGGCTTTAGATGCAGTAGCGAGCGCAGTACGTTCCTCTACCTATTTGTGCTTGTTGTGTTGACTTTGTACTCCGTCAAGTACAGAGTATATCTGGTGCAGGGCACTGAAGTCTTTTGATATTTAGTACATCCTTTTCGGTTTTCGTAGTTTAGACCTAGTCTTTTAGTTTACATAGGGAGTAATTGTTTTAAAACCAATTTTAGAGGGTATAGTAGTGTCTAGTGCAGATTTGGTGGTGATATTGAATATTTCTAATGTTTCTAAGAGGTTATTACTGGTAAAGAAACTGCCCCAGTCAGAGTGCTTTATTAGAAATCGAAAGTTTTCCCAGTCAGCGTTTGCATAGTCTCTATATTGGAATCGCGTGTTTAATGTCTTTAATTTGTTGCATATGGCAAGAATCGGAAGGGTGCAGATGACTATTTTATGATCGCTGTTGTGAAACTTTTCGCCAACCACCATTGATGTTGGCGTGACATTATGACAGAATATCAAGTCAAGAATGTTGTGATTTAGTGTAGGCAGGTGTACATGTTGTTGCCAGCCGTGTATGTCTAAGGACCTAAGTATGCTTTCAAAGCACAATGGGCCAGAATGTGTTTTCCAGTTGATGGTGGGAAGGTTGAAATCACCACATACAATTTTGTAAGTGAAGTCAAGCGAGGCAGCCTGAGCAAATGACTCACTTATAATAGTGTCAGTTGAACTAGGAGTGTTTGGAGCTCGATATATGCATCCGATTAGTATTTTACACTCATGAGTGTGCACAGTAAGCCGTATCGATTCAGGAAGTTTGCTGAGGACGTGGTCGCTATAGATTTCCGCCCTCAAATTTTTTGATACATAGACGAGACAACCACCACCCTTCTTGGTGACTCGATCACAGCGGAAGAGCTCATAGGTGTCTATTTGTAGATATGTGTCTGTGGTATCGGAGGACAGCCGACTTTCCGTTATCAAAACAAGTGAGGGGTTGTTTAGAAGTAATAGGGTGCGTAGGTAAGTCATCTTACAGGGCGGGTTTATTGCGCAGCCGTTCGCTCCGTTATAGTTTGTGGATGTGAAGCGTGGCCATTAAGAGTAAAGGATATTAGTGGGTCACTGGCATTTGGTTATAGGTGTCTACGAAGCATTGTCCGTGTATTTTGCTTTGCAACCACGGAGTAAGCAATGTCTGGGTTAAGAATAGAGTGCCAGGTGAGGATAGGGAACCGACTGGTGAGGTAGTAAGTCCTCATCAACTGAGGTGGTTGGGATGTGTTACGTATACCCAACCACCGTTTACCTCGACGAGTGATGTTTTCTGGTGCAGCAGTTGCTAGCTAGAAGAAAGATAGGGGCGACCGAGCCAAAACATGGCATCAGTACGTGATGTTACTGACAATTGGACTTAGCCATGTTAGCAAGTATAGATTACCTGGTTGTGGTCCGCGTGATTATCGTAACCAATGGTCAGACTTTGAATGACATGGCTCAAAATTGTTTGGAATGGCGCATGTGCATCTATTTTTTGTCTTCCCCCACATAATGAAACTCTACATTCCTCATAACATATTTTTGTTTATATTGCGCTTATTTAGATTTTCTTTTTAGGTCGTCTGTTCGACGCTTAGTTTTTTCTATTCCCACTGTTACTGTTACTGCCTGTACTATCATGAGATTTGGCCTGACAAATTTATCTCTGTGTTAATGAGGTATGACAACTTGAACAGATGCACATACGTACAGGTTCTACATTTATGACTGACTGGTATTCTCAGAAACCTACCACTCTTCAGATTTTAACAGGTTGGTTCACAATCTGATGTTTTGTCGTTGAAGCTCTGCCTACTATCATGTTTTATAAACACTCATCACAATACATTTACCGACATGTAACAACTGAACAATTATTTAGCATTACTTATTGAAGATTTAGTCAACTGACACGACGACCAGTTCATTATTTCAGCTTTCTGATAATCTTCGCTCTCAACCTCACATATGTCACTAAGACCACCTCTAACTCAATTTCCTTTCGAGGTACCTCTAGAAGAACCCTTCCATGGTGTGAGCAACCGGGAAGTGATAACCGCCCTCATACCTCTAACGGCACTCAAGACCACTGTATTCGTAATAAACTCTCTTCAATTCCTCCTACATCGACTTTCAACTCTAAACTTCCTCTTTTGGCTTCCTCCTCAAGTGTCACCATAGCCAACGATTCTAGTGCTCAAAACACTGTCCCGGGTTTACTGAAACCTCGCTCCAAACTACATATCGGAGCCTTCAACGTACACACACTATGTCAAATCGGTCAACAGGCCTCCTTGGCTAAAACCCTAGAATCCCGTACCATTGATGTATGCTGTGTCTCTGAAACACGCATACAGGATTTCAGTGTGGTCATTCACTTGAGCTCACCTCGGCAAAACGGAGAGCCAACGAGATACACACTCCGTGTACCTGGTGACTCGATGGCTAGTTCTCGTGGACTGGCAGGTGTAGGCGTAGCACTAAGCATGAGGGCGGAACAAGCACTGTTAAAGTGGATCCCCGTTAACAGTCGTTTATGTGCTGTTCGACTAAACGGCTCCGCAAGAACTCAGAAGGATAGGGACACACGTCGTTGCCTTTTTACCGTTTCTGCTCACACTCCCACTGACTGCAGCTCGGATGAAGTGAAAGATGAATTTTACGAAAAGCTCTCTGAACTTCTTCAGAGAGCTAAACGTTCAAACGTAGTACTCTTAACAGGTGACTCTAATGCTCAGTTAGGTAGCTTAAACCAAAGAGAAAGACATTTAGGTGG